ATTTTTTTTATTATTACTCTTATTTTTCATTTAATTATTATATACATATATTTATTTATTTATTGTGATGAGACAATGGAAATAATAAAATATTTACTAAAATTTTTAAAGATTATTACAATTTTTATTTCTTAAAAAAAGCTTCATTATTTATTAAAATTTTATTAAATTTTAGATTTTTGTAGTGTGACTAAGACCATTAAATAATTCATATTCAAGTAGATTATCGAAAGAATTATAAAAGAAGCATTATATTATTTTTTAGTGTGGTTTTCCCTTTTGATTTTAATTTAATCTTAAAACCTCTTTTTTTAATTTTATTTATTAAAAACTAGTTTTAAAATCAATTTTGCTTCAAGATTATTCTAAAAGTGAATTTTATTTTAAAACTAATTTTCAAACGAATTTAAACTAAATTCAGTTTAAATCAATGTAAAATCCAAAATTATTTAATATAGATAAAATTTACAAATAAAAGATAAACAAATAAAGTTTCGTAAAACGGATAATGTGTGGTCAAATAATTCAAGTTCTTTTAAATATTTATTATTGTATTATTAATTAAAATTCTTAGTTTTTAAAAATTATAATAATAAAAAAATGACTGAAATAATAATATTATGTGTAAATTTAGATATTCGTGAGGATAATTTGTGATTTATAAAAAAATATTGATATCAAATAAAAAAATTCTTTATTTTTTAGTTTAGATTTATTGTTTAGTTTAGATTTATTTTTTAATTTCATTCATACAAATTATTATAAATAGGAGATTTGACTTTAGAAAAGAGAAATACTTTTATATCCACTTGTCTGTCATTTCTTGAAGCTTTTTCCAGTTAACAATAGTTGAAGGGTTTGAAAAGTGTCAAGAAGGTAATATTCTTATCCTCTCCTACTATATCAAATTTCTATAAGAGTTCACAAACTAATCTTTCATTGCTACTAAGTCTTATGTAATTTAAGTTTCATAGAGTTGATACACTATTCTCTCTCTCTCTCTCTTTTTTTTTTTTTGGGTTAATCTATCAACATATATCTTAAAAATAAAATTATGATAAAGGAGATATTCAAACCACATAATATCTAAAAATAAATAAATTTTATTAATATAATATTATAATTTAATATTTTATTTTATTATTTTTTTAGTTTTAGTTTAAATATATGGGTGTCAAAATATTATCCTGTTATAAATATTTGTTTGAAAATTTAAGTATTTATTATAATAATATTAGTTAAAATTTTATTATTTTTTAGTTGTATTTTAAATATATAAATTGTCAAAAGATTTTCCATTTCAAAAAACGGTATTCTTTTTATATAATATTATAATATAATATTTTATTATTATTTTTAGTTTTATTTTAGATGTATGGGTGTCAAAAATTATCCCTTAAAAAACTATTTGTTTGACAACCCAAATATTTATTATGATAATATTAGTTAAGATTTTATTATTTTTCTAAATTTTATTTTAAAAAATTATCCTTTAAAAAATGTTTGATTATAACCCAATATTTATTCAACATGGTATAATAATATTATTTAAGATTTTATTATTATTTTAAAATTGTATTTTAAATATATGGGCTGTGAAAACATATCCTTTAATAAATGTTTGATTAACAACCCAAACATTTACATTCTATTAATAGAATAAGAATATTATTTAAGATTTTATTGATTTTTTTAGTTATATTTAAATATATGGGTCGTTAAAAAATTATCTCGAGGAAAATGTTTGATTAACCATCAAAATATTCATTATATTGATATAATAATATTAGATTAATATTTTATTATCTTTTTAATTGTATTTGAAATATATGGGTTGTTAAAATATTATCTGAAGAGCTTTCATTTCCCTCTTTTTTGATAAATTATATTATTTTTATGTTTATTAATAAATTAGGGGTGATTTAATATGAATTTGTACCCATCTTTCTCGCCCTTATCAAGATTAGTATATTGTTAATTGATTTTTGAGCGCGAGTTTGGCTGAGTTTATCTTGAAAATGAATGGGGTTGAATTTGTTGAAAATTATTTGATTGGATGCACTAAGATTAATTGAATCATAAATTTTTAATTTTAAAAATATATTTAAAATAAAAATATCAATATGTGACTTTTTATTAATAGTAATTATTATTATAGAATAAAAGGTTGAAATATTTTTTAAAATATCTTAAAAACTATTAAAATTTCAATTGAATAATATTTTATGAAAAATAAGTTGTAATTAAAATTTAAAATATAAATAAGTTGATAAGAAATTGTATCTTGCATGCTGAGAAAAATTGAAATTCTTTCTGCAGTATAAAACAGGATTTAGAGGTTGTAATGGAACAAATTCGTTATGAAACAATCCCAACTTCTGCCTATTGGCTAAATGGGTGCAATAGAGATTCTCAAAGGTTTATACGTAGAGAGACATCGCCAACCACGATTGCTAAATCATCAACTACATGTAAATATTGGATAAATGGTAATTGCATTTACGGTGATAGGTGTCGGAAGTTACATTCATGGTCGAACTCCGGGAAACAAAATGTTGTCAAGGTATATTCTTCAAGACTTATACCTCAGTTATGTCCAAGTGTTATTAAATTCAGTTGTTCAAACTCTAGCCATTTACCAACATGCAAAAATCTGCAGGAGGGCAATTTAAGACCCAGAAAACTAATCTGGTGGACAGCACCTTGTGAAGGATTCGTGAAGATTAATTGTGATGGAGCCTTCACAGTTCATGGAAACAAAGGTGGTGCAGGAGGGGTTGTGAGGGATTGGGAAGGGAAGTTTATCTTTGGGTTCTCCAGTGGCTTGAAGAATTCCTCAGCGATGATGGCAGAATTAAGGGCAATTAAGATTGGAATGGAAACAACCATCGCGAAGGGATTCAAGAACTTAATTGTTGAGAGTGATTCTAAAGTTGCTATTGAGATCATTACCAGCGGTGTAGCAGAAGAGAGAAAGTGTGATGATGGAGGTCTAAATGTTATCTCTTCAATCATTGAATTGAGTAAGAAAGCTGATCACATTTACTGGAATCATGTGTTCAGAGAAGTGAACTCAGCCGCAGATGGTCTTGCCAAACATGGATTATCGTTGTCTCCCGATTCTGGTGTTAAAGTTTTCGACTACCCTCCCTATTTTATTCAGAGTCATTTGTCTGAAAATAGAATTGGAAAAGTTTACGTTCGATGATAAATCTTTCTTTCCTAAAAAAAAAATCATATGTATCATTTCTTAATAAAACTTTAAAGTAATGTTTTGTATGACACCTTATATATTATTTAATCCAACCATATATCTCTCGTTTGTGGTCTTCATGATTACTTGAACTGGAATGTGAGATGGCTTATAAGAGTCGGAGATGCTAAAAGATTGATTATCATACCCTTGACTTATCAATATGAGTTTTATGCTTAAGACTTGCATCCCTCAATTACGTACCTAATAATGGATTTGGAGCAAATTTTACAAAATGGCCTTTGCGTCTTCATGAATCAACAAAAAAGCTCCAAAGCTTCCAATTGGATGCCACTATATCCAGAGATGAAATCTCTAGGGTTCACACAAAATATTGGTTTGAAATAATAATATTTAAGATATTAAAATAGATTTAGGTTCACAAGTTATTCGAAATATAAAAAAAAAAAGTTATGTTAGGTAAAATAAATTATAATCTAAATTGAATTAAATGTATTTTAATTCGATTCGTTTAAATTATCACTTGTATTATTTAGGTTAAACTAGTAAGTAAGTTTTATGTTATTATATAAAATAATAATAATTTTTTAAATAAAAATAAAAATAAGATTATTATATTAAAAATATATATGTATTATAAATTAATTTGATAAAGAATTCACTTGTTATAAAAATAAATATAAAAATAAAATTTTAATAAATATTTATTTAATGTTATAATAATTAAAATGAATTATTATTTTAAATTAATAAAATAAAAATAAAAATAATAAAAAGTAAATTTTTTAATTTTTATTTTAATATTAAATGATTAATTTTATTATAATTTATATATTAATTTATTATGTGTTAAATAAAAACTAATTTTATTAATGTAATTTAAATTTAAAATATATATTTTTTATTTAAATAATTTTTGATTAATTATTTTGATATAAATACATCAATATTATTTTTAATATATAATCAGACCAAATTTGATTGATTAGTCCAACAACCTAGTATAAGAACATGTTAAATTAAAAATTATAATTTATTTTAAAAAATATTAATGTTTTTTACTTAATTTATATATTAGATCACATTAGACTGAAATAATTCGTACTGCCCGCTTTACTTTTAATCATAGGAACAACCAAAGCTTCTATCTTTGCTCTCTTTTTCTGCCCACACAAAATCCATAAAACTCTGAAACAATATAAAAATAATGAAAATCCCATAGAAATACATTAAAAGTCATAATAAGAAGATTAGTTATAATATTATTATTTTTTCTTTGCAAGAATTCTTTTATGAACAAACTTTTTTGTATCAGTGTATAATTTTAATGTGAAAAATGACTAAATTTTCTTTTTAATATAAAAATATTATTATCCTTATAAAAAGGAAGAAAAGAAAGACAGTAAGCAAACGCTTTTCCATTTCTCCGGCGATATGCGATACTTGAAAACCCGTAAATACCCCTACATTATCCATTTCATAACATCCAATAATTCGTAACGTCATAACTAACGTAGGGGCTCTTGCGTCAATTCAAGTTGAGAGCGAGGAACCTCACAGACCAAAAACGCGATCTCAGAAACTCAAACATCAAGTAACGTTCTCTGCAATTCAGATCCTCAACTCGTTCTTTTTTCCTTCTCGATTAAGCGAAATCTTAACGAGTCAACTCGCTCTCGCAGCTCATGGCACGGAGATCTTGACGTAGAGGCGCCCGCATTCGATTCCCGCCGAAGATCTCACCCTGCGAGGCGTCGCCGAGTCGCTACTCGCTCCGAACTCGGGAATGGCTTCTTCGGAAGCCGATTCCCGTCTGAGCCTGGTCGTGGTTCCCGCGCTCGAGAAGATAATCAAGAACGCGTCGTGGCGAAAGCACGCCAAACTCACTCACGAGTGCAAATCCGTCATCGAGAGGCTTGGCCACCGGCACTTTCCGCCGCCGGGATCTCCCACCGACACCGAACCGGAGACCAACGTACCTGGCCCGCTCCATGACGGTGGTCCAGTGGAGTTCTCCTTGGCCGAGTCCGAATCGATCCTCGCGCCACTCATCCATGCAGCCGGCTCCGGCGTCCTCAAGATCGCTGATCCTGCAGTCGACGCCATCCAGAAGCTCATTGCGCATGGCTACCTCCGAGGCGAGGTTGACCCGGACTCCGCCGCTGCCGCGCCGGAGGCGAGGCTCCTCTCCAACCTCATAGAATCGGTTTGCAAATGCCACGATTTCGGCGACGAGTCGATGGAGTTGCTGCTCCTCAAGACCTTGCTCTCTGCTGTGACGTCGATTTCGCTTCGAATCCATGGAGATTCCTTGCTTCTCATTGTGCGGACCTGCTATGATATATATCTCGAGAGTAAGAATGTGGTGAATCAGACGACGGCGAAGGCTTCGCTGATCCAAATGCTGGTGATTGTATTCCGCCGCATGGAGGCGGATTCCTCCACGGTGCCGGTTCAGCCGATTGTGGTGGCAGAATTGATGGAGCCTGTGGAGAAATCCGATGGGGACAATTCAATGACGCAGTTTGTGCAGGGCTTTATAACGAAGATAATGCAGGACATTGACGGCGTTTTGAACCCTACGATGCCGAGTGGGAAGGTTCATTTGTTAGGTGGGCACGACGGTGCTTTTGAGACCACCACGGTGGAGACTACGAATCCTACTGATTTGTTGGATTCTACTGATAAGGACATGTTGGATGCTAAGTATTGGGAGATTAGTATGTATAAGACGGCGTTAGAGGGACGGAAGGGGGAGCTTGTTGATGGGGAAGTGGTGGATAGGGACGATGATTTAGAAGTTCAGATTGGGAACAAGTTGAGGAGAGATGCTTTTTTGGTGTTTAGGGCGCTTTGTAAGTTGTCGATGAAAACGCTTCCGAAGGAGGCGATAGGGGACCCAGAGTTGATGAAGGGGAAGATTGTGGCTCTGGAGTTGCTGAAGATTTTGCTGGAGAATGCGGGGGCTGTGTTCAGGACTAGTGAAAGGTATTGCATTTCACTGATGTTCATTTTTTGGACTAGTTTGGAATTTGGCATTGTGGCCAGTTAGGGAGAAGATGTGTATTATTTTAATTTTGCTGGTAGATGGCAAGAAGGTGAATTTTCTCTGTTGAACATTCTAGGAGTGAACTTGATTTGCATTGTCTGGATGTTCTGTCTAGGAGTGAACATGGTGACTTGATTGCATTCTCCGGATGCTCTGTCTAGGAGTGAACATAATAATAATAAGGTCACTTTATTTCTGTCTAGGAGTGAACATAAGTCATAAATTCTTGCTTGCTACGGTTAAGGATTTAGAAATATGATGACACTAATGTTAGAACAGAAGTGCTCTCTATATTGGGATGAAATAGTCTTTTAGAATTTTGACATGGGAGAGTATAACAGTACTTATACTCACCCAAAATAGATTTTAAGAAGGGAGAGCAAAGATACGCTTGTATGTTCATAATGATTTTAGCCCAAATTAAAATCACATTCCTTTGACATTGTCAAAATAGAAAATTATAAATCATTGTCATCATATAAATATTTGTGCTTCATAGGTTTCGATACTTCATTACTATGTGTATGTGCAGTGTGGTCTTTGCTGCTGTTGATATCTTGATCCTTTCTGCATCTTTCCTCTCCTTTCTTTAGAGTTTATAATATGGATCCCAATGCAAACTACAATATTAAGGTCCTTTTCCATGTTGAAAATTATTGTTCAATTTTTGGCTGCATTCCCAATTTATTAGGATTAAAGAAGAGTTCCCACCCCCACCAGTATACTCGTGGAGATTTTCAATCATGATGGGAGTGAATACCAGTTTCATTCTTGGAGTAAAAAGTTTATTCTAATCCTGGCTAGTCAATTTTATGCTGTTTTGACCTCAAGTTTGTTGATATCATTAGGGTTACTATATCTGAAGTATTGTCTATGTTGAAGTATTTATTAGATTAAGTGTATCTTGTTGGGCATTTATGAGATTAGTTGTAGACCTAGTTCTTAGAATGCATCTGTTTATCTTCTCTAGGATTAATCATGTCTCTCTATTAATTGTATCTCTGAATCTGTATTTTTATCTCCTATAAATAAGAGAACACAAGAAGATGATTTCAGGCTCTCAAAATCAGTTCTTTATTTTCCTTTTTCTATTTCAAGTTGGTATCAGAGCGGGTTCATCCCGCTCTGCCTGTCTCTGTTTTTTTTTTTTGGCATTTATCGCCGTTCACCGCCGTCTGCCGTCGATTGCCGCCGGTGCTGTTCTTCTCCGGCGCCTTTTCTCTCTTTAACACTTGGGTTTGGCTCACCTCGAGGAGCGCGACCCAACCCCAGTGTTCGCTTCCTCTGTCTCTGCCTCACGCGCCGCCCTCGTCCGTGGCTTCCTCCGCGCGTGAGCCTCACGCGCCGCCCTCCCGATGGCTGTTTTGCTCCAGGCCACCTCTATCCGGCTCGCCTTGTCGCCCTGGTGCCAGATTTGCACTTTGTTTTGTGTTCTCTGTCACAAAACGTGGTGGGTTTGCCTTTTTTTTTTCTCTCTGCCTCTCTCGGTCCTCTCTTTAACAGCACACTGGTCCTTTCTTGTTTCTTGGAAAATGTCAGGACCTGTGTCTGTATCTTTTTCTGGGACTCCAACTATAACCACAGAAAAATTAAATGGGAAAAATTATTTGTCTTGGGCTTCCTCTGTTGAGCTCTGGTTTCTAGGTCAAGGAGTTCATGATCATCTAGAAGAAGATGGAAGTACTAAACCAGCAGATCAGGCTCCTCAATGGAAGAAACTGGATTGTCAACTTTGTGCACTATTATGGCAATCTGTTGAACTAAATATTTTGAGCACTCTTCGAGCCTTCAAGACATGTAATTCTTTTTGGAAAAAGGCCGAAAATATCTTTGCTAATGATATTCAACGACTTTATGATTCTGCTAATAGACTAGCCTCCCTTAAGCAAGAGGATAATTCCATGATGTCCTTTGTTGCTGAAGCTCAGTCAGTTGTTGAAGAATTAAAAATGTTCCTGGAGGCAGAATCATTAGAGGAAAGAAAGACGAAGCTGGATAAATTCTATATGGTAATGATTCTTAGGGCTATGAATCCAGAGTTTAATCATGTTAGAGACCAGATTCTAACTGGAGAAGAAGTTCCTTCTACGAATAGTTTAATCACAAGGCTACTTCGTGTTCCTTCTATCAAAAGCAAAAACAGTTAGGAACTTGCTGATTCTTCCGCCATGATTTCTGCTCGTGGAAGAGGTAATCACAGCTCTAGAGGACGTGGTGGGAAAGGACGTCCTCAGTGCTCTCATTGCAAAAGAATGGGATATACTAAGGAAAATTGCTTTGCTCTGCACGACAGCTAATACCTCAAAATCTGAAGCTGATGAGCCCAAGTTCTCTCATGGAGAGTATCAAGAATATTTAAGGATGAAATCAACCAATTTGGCTCAAACATCTACAATACCAAATTCGTCAACCGCTTGCATTTCGCAATCTGTGGAAAGTCAAAATCCGTGGATTATTTACTCAGGTGCTTTTGACCACATGTCTGGTAATACCTCTTTATTCTCCTCTCTTTCATTTTCTAAAACATCCCATCTCATATCTTTAGCTAATGGATCTAAAGTAGCCTCTAAAGGAATTGGTCAAGTATCTATCTCTTCTTCTTTAAACCTTCAAAATGTTCTTTGTGTTCCTTCCTTTCCATTTAGTCTTGTTTCTGTAAGTCAATTAACCAAATCATTGAATTGCTCAGTAACCTTTAATGCCAATTGTTTTGTTATCCAGGAATGTGGTACGGGTCGATTGATTGAAGAAGGACATGAATCTGGAGGCTTATACTACCTTAGGACTAAGTCATCTGTATCTTGTGTTGCATCCTTATCCCCAAAACTGTTACATGAGCGATTAGGGCATCCTCATTTAGCAAAATTGAAAAAAATGGTTCCTGAACTTCAGAACCTTCAAACTTTTGAATGTGAATCCTGTCAACTAGGGAAACATACCAGGTCATCCTTTTCAAATCATTCTGAATCTAGATGTGATTCTGCTTTTAGTATTGTTCATTCAGATATATGGGGACCTAGTCGTGTTTCATCTTTTGGTTTTAGATATTTTGTTACTTTTATTGATGGGTTTTCTAGATGTACTTGGGTTTATCTTATGAAAGATCGTTCTGAACTATTGTCTATCTTTAAGTCTTTCCTTAATGAAATCAAAACTCAATTTGGAAAAGTAATCAAAGTTTTACGAAGTGATAATGCCAAAGAGTATTTTTCTAATGATTTTTCTAATGTCCTAAATTCTCAAGGCATTTTACACCAGTCCACGTGTCCTCACACACCACAGCAAAATGGTATAACAAAACGGAAAAATAGACATTTGGTTGAAACTGCTCGTACCTTATTGCTGGGTGCCAATATGCCTATTCATCATTGGGGAGATGCTATTCTAACTGCATGCTTTCTCATTAATAGAATTCCATCTTCTTCTCTTGATAATAAAGTTCCACACTCTATTCTATTTCCAAAGGAACCAATTTTTCATGTTTCTCCTAGGGTATTTGGATGTATATGTTTTGTTCATGACATGTCTCCTGGCTTAGATAAACTCTTACCTAGAGCTATCAAATGTGTCTTCTTGGAGTATTCTCGTCTTCAAAAAGGATATCAGTGTTATTCTCCTGAAACCAAGAGGTACTACATGTCTGCTAATGTCACCTTTTTTGAATCATCATCCTTCTTCCCTTATTCTATGCAGGATATTGATTCTGTCCAAAATGTTTTTCGTGTTCCCTTAGTTGAATCATTTGTACCTCCTATTGCTGACACCCCAAATCCCAACCAAAATACTCTAGAATCATCATCACAGCCTATCATCACCTATCAACGCAGGAACCAGGTGAACAATCCCATTCCCCAAGATGAGCCATCCATAATAGGTCCTTCACCATCATCCTCTAATACCACGGCTCCTGATAACAATGACTCCAGTTGGCCCATTGTCATTCGCAAAGGTACTCGTTCTACTCGTAATCCTCATCCCATTTACAAATTTCTTAGTTATCATAGATTGTCTCCTTCCTATTGTTCTTTTATTTCCTCTGTATCCTCTATTACAATTCCCAAAAATGTGGTCGAAGCGTTTGATCATCCTGGATGGCGACAAGCTATGATTTCTGAAATGCAGGCTCTTGATCACAGCAAAACATGGGAGTTTGTTCCTCTCCCTTCGGGAAAGAAAACAGTTGGTTGTCGTTGGATCTATGCTATTAAAGTTGGGCCCAATGGTCAGGTTGATCGTCTTAAAGCCAGGTTAGTGGCTAAAGGGTATTCTCAAATATATGGACTTGATTATTGTGATACTTTTTCTCCTGTAGCCAAAATGACCATTGTCCGCCTGTTCCTTGCCATGGCCGCCATTCGTCATTGGCCTCTTCGTCAATTGGATATTAAAAATGCTTTTTTGCACGGTGACTTAGAAGAAGTTTACATGGAGCAACCTCCTGGATTTGTTGCTCAGGGGGAGTCTAGTTTGGTTTGTAAATTACGTCGATCCCTCTATGGCCTAAAACAGTCTCCACGTGCTTGGTTTGGAAAATTCAGCTCTATTGTTCAAGCTTTTGGATTAAAACGCAGCGAAGCAGATCATTCAATGTTTTATTGTCACACTGCCACTGGCAAACATGTTTATTTAATTGTGTACGTTGATGATATTGTCATCACAGGGAATGATGCTGCTAAAATATCTCAGCTAAAAGAGCACTTGTGTAGTCATTTTCAAACCAAGGATCTTGAAAATCTAAAATATTTCTTGGGTATTGAAGTAGCTCAATCAAGAGAAGGTATTGTCATCTCTCAAAGAAAGTATGCTCTAGATATTCTAAAAGAGACAGGTATGATTGATTGCAAACCTGTGGACAGTCCTATGGATCCAAATTTGAAGTTAATGGTAGGACAGGGTGAAGTTTTCTCTGACCCAGAAAGATATAGAAGACTGGTTGGGAAACTTATTTATTTGACGATTACTAGACCTGATTTGTCTTTTGCAGTTGGTGTTGTCAGCCAATTTATGCAAGCTCCTTGTGTGGATCATTGGAATGCTATCATTCGAATCTTAAGATACATTAAAAAAGCTCCAGGGCAAGGATTATTATATGAAGATAAAGGAAATACCCAAATTTTTGGGTACTGTGATGCTGACTGGGCTGGATCTCCTATGGATAGGCATTCTACTACAGGCTATTGTGCTTTCCTTGGAGGAAATATCATTTCATGGAAAAGCAAAAAGCAAAACGTTGTTGCCCGATCCTCTGCTGAAGCTGAATATATGGCAATGACGTCTCTTACATGTGAACTTGTTTGGGTAAAACAATTCTTGCAAGAATTGAACTTCTGTGAGATTCAATCTATGAAGATGTATTGTGATAATCAAGCTGCTCTTCACATTGCTTCCAACCCAGTATTTCATGAGAGGACTAAGCATATTGAGATTGATTGTCATTTTATTCGGGAGAAGTTGTTGACTAAAGAAATTTGTACTGAGTTTGTTGGTTCCAATGATCAGCTTGCAGATGCATTAACAAAATCTTTGAGAGGACCTCGAATGGAATTCATTTGTTCCAAGCTTGGTACATTCAATTTGTATGCTCCAGCTTGAGGGGGAGTGTTGAAGTATTTATTAGATTAAGTTTATCTTGTTGGGCATTTATGAGATTAGTTGTAGACCTAGTTCCTAGAATGCATCTGTTTATCTTCTCTAGGATTAATCATGTCTCTCTATTAATTGTATATCTGAATCTGTATTTTTATCTCCTATAAATAAGAGAACACAAGAAGATGATTTCAGGCTCTCAAAATCAGTTCTTTATTTTCCTTTTTCTATTTCAAATGTCTATTTTGATATTTGATGACTCTATTGCAGTTGTCTAAAACAAGCTTTTCAGGGGATTAGAAGGAATAGAAATTTATCTTTGGTTTTGACTCTTTAGTGATATGATATTTTCAGTATGAAAAGAACTCCCTAGTAAAGGCTCTAAGGGGAAAGGGTGGCCTATGCCTTTTCTCTAGCATCAATGTTTTGACTTCAAGTATGCTGACATTGTTAAGAAGGATTATGGCATCCAGTTTTTTTGTCTGTTTTAGTACTTGATAACTCCATCACGATTTTGTTTAGGAAACATGACTTGGTAAAATAAGAAATCTGTTTATAAATTATTATTGACCTTGACTCTTAAGCTATATGTAAATTTTGACATTCTAGAACATATCCTATTCATGGGTTCAGCTATTAATGAAATTGTTTTTATTTTGTTTTCCCTTTACCTGCCCATTGTGCCTTTTGGAACTTGCAATCTGGAATATTACAGCATGTAAATATTTTTTCCCATCTCCAATTGGAGAATAGCAGTTAAATATGCTTTGTAATCAAGTTTTTTATAGTCTTTCCTAGGTATTTGGGATTATTTGACATATATGTATTCGAATACTAGCTTGTCGTTATTTTGGTTTTGCTTGTACCTATCCTTTTTGCAATTTAAAACTACAGTTAAACGACTGCATCATGAATCATGGTGGTTTTGTTTCAATTCACAATAAATTATGCTATGTATGTGTTGGTTTTTGAATTTCTAGCATCTTAATAATTCTTCATAGACTAACATGGCCATGAAAGTTGTTGAAAATCTGCCTTAATAGCAGTCACAGATAGTCCGCGTAAATTGCAACCTCTTTGGGGTTATCTAAATTGCAACCTCAAGAGTTTATAGTTTAATTCCACATTGATTAGTGATATAGTTAAAATAAAGTATATAAATGAGGTGCAAATTTCACTTTATAGGTCAGTTTTATAGAGTTGAGAGAAATCTAAATTTATAAAACCAATTTCTTAGAAAAGTCTTGTGCCTTCTCAAACTCTATTTGTAGTGAACCTGTAAAATTAAATGGACAATTGAATTGCCATAATTTTGATGTTGCAATTTTTTCCTAATTTAGTTTAACATTATTAGTTATGCCATACACACGTTTGAATACCCCTTTTGTCCCTGTAACTTATTCATCTGAAACTAGTGGAGTAATTGATTAATGCAGCTGCTGCCTATGAATTGCATGTGCATCATCTTCTGCTATTATATTTTTATAGTATGGTCTATTACTGTGTTTTGAATTTTTGTTGTGTTTGTCTCTTGAGTTTAACATAGATCCTTTTCCCCCCTCATCATTATTAAGAAGTAGCATTCTCTATTTTTAATCTATACACCACTTCATGCTATTTTTTTTCTACTAAATAATTTTACTGCATGACAAAAAATAGTACTGATGGTTATATTTGGTTGTTCTTGAGCAGGTTTTTAGGTGCCATCAAGCAGTACTTATGTTTATCCTTGTTGAAGAACAGTGCTTCAACTCTTCTAATTGTGTTTCAGCTGTCATGCTCCATTTTCATCAGTCTGGTGTCAAGATTTAGGGCTGGATTGAAAGCAGAAATTGGAGTATTTTTTCCTATGATTGTTCTCAGGGTCCTAGAAAATGTTTCTCAACCTAATTTTCAGCAGAAGATGATAGTGCTTCGGTTTCTGGAAAAGCTCTGTGTTGATTCACAGATATTGGTTGACATATTTATAAACTATGACTGTGATGTCAATTCATCAAACATATTTGAGAGGTATGTATGTATTATTTTATTTATTTTTTATAGATATTTTTTTTACTATAATATGTGCAATTTCATGTTTAGAATATGGATCTCAAGTTTAATAACATTACCTTATTGAATTGTTTTTTCCTACACTGTTGATGGTTGTGTGGCTAAGTTTGTCTTCATTGTCACTTAATACACATTATATAATTTATATCTAAGTGTTGTATTCCTCCTAGGATGGTCAATGGACTTCTTAAAACTGCTCAAGGTGTCCCTCCTGGTGTAACAACCACACTTTTGCCACCCCAGGAAGCAACACTAAAACTTGAATCCATGAAAAGCTTGGTTGCAGTTTTAAAATCAATGGGAGATTGGATGAACAAACAATTGCGCATTCCTGACCCTCATTCAGCCAAGAAAGTTGAAGCATTGGATTACAGCCCTGAAACTGGAGGTTTTACCATGGTAAATGGGAATGGAGAAGACGCTGTTGATGGATCTGACACTCAATCAGAAGCCTCCAATGATGCTTCTGATGTTTCAAATATTGAGCAACGCCGGGCTTATAAACTGGAACTCCAGGTAAGAAATGAACAAGGTTTTGAGAATAAAGTATATCTTTCCTCTGGCTTTAAACCGATGAAGCTAATGCAAGTGTATGGCAGGAAGGTATATCACTTTTTAATAGGAAGCCTAAGAAAGGAATTGAGTTTCTCATCAATGCCAACAAGGTGGGTGATTCACCAGAGGATATAGCTACTTTTCTTAAAGAAGCATCTGGGTTGAACAAGACTTTGATTGGTGATTATCTGGGAGAAAGGGAAGAGTTACCCTTGAAGGTAATGCATGCATATGTGGATTCCTTTAACTTTCAAGGTATGGAGTTTGACGAGGCAATCAGGGTCTTTCTTCAAGGATTTAGACTGCCTGGTGAGGCACAGAAAATTGATAGGATCATGGAAAAGTTTGCCGAACATTACTGCAAATGTAATTCAAAGGCCTTTTCTAGTGCCGACACAGCGTATGTCCTTGCCTATTCTGTTATAATGCTTAATACAGATGCTCACAATCCTATGGTGAAGAATAAGGTGTGCTCACAATCCTATTCTGTTAATTGATAGACCAATAATTATGACAGACACAATGGCTTACTTTCTTTTTTATTGTTGAGTTATGCAGATGTCTGCTGATGATTTCATAAGAAACAATCGAGGCATTGATGATGGAGAAGATCTTCCTGAGGAATACTTGAAGTCCTTGTTTGACAGAATATCTAGAAACGAGATCAAAATGAAAGAAAATGATGTGACTCCTCAACAAAAACAAGCTGTGAACCCTAATAGACTTTTAGGCTTGGATAGTATATTGAATATTGTGATCCGTAAACATGATGAAGAGAATCTGGAGACCAGTGATGATCTTATCCGTCATATGCAAGAACAATTCAAAGAAAAAGCTCGCAAAACTGAGTATGTTTATATTTTTTCCTTTCTCTGGAAGTGATAATTTACTTTCCAAATCTTATGTTGAGCAAAAGATTTAATCTGGTGTTTTTGGCATGAAGAATCTTCTGTTGACTTGAGGCTGTTTATGCACCCTATTATGTCTACCAGAATTTATATGGTTTTTACATGATCCATGTCTATTTGAAGTGTGATGTGTGTCTATCTAAAATGTTCATGCAAGTATTTTATTCTTTCTTTATCTCTAATATTTTAATGACAGTTATATCACTTGTCTGCAAGTTAAGTTGACGGGATAGATAAAAATAGTTTGCAGATTTTATTTTAATTTTCTTTATGTGCATTTCTTTACAATTTGCAGATCAGTTTATTACGCCGCAACAGATGTTGTAATTCTGAGATTCATGATTGAGGTGTGCTGGGCACCGATGTTAGCCGCCTTCAGTGTTCCACTTGATCAAAGTGATGATGAGGTTGTAATATCTCTGTGCCTTGAAGGCTTCCGCTATGCTATTCATGTTACTTCCGTAATGTCAATGAAGACTCATAGAGATGCTTTTGTGACTTCATTAGCAAAGTTTACCTCACTACATTCACCAGCAGATATTAAGCAGAAGAATGTCAATGCAATTAAGGTTAGTAAATTTAACTTCTCTTCTACCTGACTTGTGAACAACATGAAAGCGGAAGTGATTATCAATTAGCAATTATCATTCTCTGTCATGTTACTTCATACTTGCGCCATTTTCAAAATGCATCATTATTTGTATATTATTTCATTAGCTTTCGCATAACATCTTTTATCATTTCAAGTTCATGTATACACTTTCCCTTTAATGGATGTTTTTATCCTGTCCAAAGCTACATTCTCTGCATTTGGACTTCCCTCCCTTGTTCTGCAAATATGATAATTACCAAATTAACATAGTATTTTTGTGGAGTTTTGTTGTATTTGCTGAAAGTGATTCTGGTAACAATGTCTGAAAACATGATAATCATTATTTGTTGGATCTTTTTTAAGTTGTGGATAATGTATTCATGGTACTGGAACCCAATGTTCAGTTATTGATGATATATATGACTAAACTTACCATCTGTTTGTTACTAGGCAATAGTTGTTATTGCTGATGAGGATGGAAATTACTTACAAGAAGCTTGGGAACACATCTTGACTTGTGTTTCTCGGTTTGAGCATTTACATCTTCTTGGAGAGGGGGCTCCACCAGATGCCACATTCTTTGCTTTCCCTCAGAATGATTCAGAAAAAGCAAAGCAAACAAAGTCAACCATTCTTCCTGTCTTGAAGAAGAAGGGACCTGGGAGGATGCAGTACGCAGCTGCTTCATTGATGCGGGGTTCATATGACAGTGCTGGAATTGGTAGTAATGGTTCCGGAGTCACAGCTGAACAGGTGAACAATCTAGTGTCTAATTTAAATATGTTGGAACAAGTTGGAAACTCTGAAATGAGTCGCATATTCACTCGGAGTCAGAAGTTGAACAGTGAGGCGATAATAGACTTTGTTAAGGCTCTATGCAAGGTCTCCATGGAGGAATTGAGATCTCCATCTGATCCACGTGTTTTCAGCCTTACAAAGATTGTTGAGATTGCGTATGTATTACTCACCTACTACCTCAAACATGCTACCTCTTTGCCATTACCTTTAAACTGTTTATTTTTCCTCATGGATCTTGGGGTTCATTGGTTGGGGGCTTTTACAATAGAAGCATTGTTAATAGTACTTGACAATATTTGGTTTGATGTTTATAAATTTAACATGTTCGCAACCTGTTTTTCTTTTTTTTGGTTGATTGCCCCTTCTAAATCCCCAACTCTCGCGCTCACTTCTTTGTCGTCTGAGCACATTGTTGAATTGAATTATAGTTTTTGTTCAACTCTGATAAAATATCATGAGGTTTCATGTGAAGAAAGAACCTGTGTCTTTTTACTGAAGAGAAGGACACTACAAGTGTGCTCAAAGATCAAGGTGGGAAAGTGTAATTCATTTGAAAAATAAATGTTTGGGCATGCCATCAAGCATATTATATAAGTTTTGCATGATTGTTTGATGTTTCTAGACTGCTTTTTCTATTGTTTGACATGATTATTATGTAACAGGCACTATAATATGAACCGCATCAGGCTTGTGTGGTCAAGCATCTGGCATGTTCTCTCTGATTTCTTTGTAACTATTGGCTGTTCTGCAAACCTTTCAATTGCAATTTTTGCAATGGATTCATTGCGTCAGTTGTCAATGAAATTTCTGGAGCGAGAAGAGCTGGCTAATTATAATTTTCAAAATGAATTTATGAAGCCTTTTGTCATTGTTATGCGAAAGAGTAGTGCTGTTGAAATTAGAGAATTAATTATCAGATGTGTCTCTCAAATGGTTCTATCTCGTGTCAACAATGTCAAATCAGGATGGAAGAGCATGTTCATGGTAGAACTGATAAACTCTTATTGTCTATAGATAGCTTCAATTAACACAATTGTTTGTTGAATTTTTTATCTCCTGTACTTATTGCTCATAGACCTGATTTCAGGTATTCACAACAGCAGCTTACGATGACCACAAAAACATTGTACTCTTGGCTTTTGAAATTATTGAGAAAATTATTCGTGATTACTTTCCATACATCACTGAGACTGAAACCACAACCTTCACAGACTGTGTAAATTGTCTAATTGCGTTTACCAATAGTAGATTCAATAAAGAGATTAGCCTAAACGCCATTGCTTTTCTTCGGTTCTGTGCAACAAAACTTGCAGCTGGAGACCTTGGCTCATCATCAAGGAATAAGGATAAGGAAGTTTCTGGAAAAGTTTCCTTATCTTCTCCTCAAACAGGTAAGGAGGGGAAAAATGATAATGGAGAGGCTGCTGACAAGGATGATCATCTCTATTTCTGGTTTCCTTTATTGGCAGGTGAAGGCATTATATGAAGTTTATCTAGGCATGAATTTATGTTGCTATCATCTTGCTTTATGTAAGCTTAGCATATTACAGATATACTTATTTGTTGTTTATTTTCTGCAGGTTTATCCGAGCTTAGCTTTGAGCCAAGACCTGAGATTAGGAAGAGCGCCTTGGAAGTCCTGTTTGAAACCTTACGTAACCATGGCCATCTGTTTTCACTTCCTTTATGGGAAAGAGTATTTGAGTCTATCCTATTTCCTATATTCGATTATGTTCGGCATGCTATTGATCCTTCAGGAAATAGTTCACCAGTCAATATAGAGCCTGGTGATGGTGAGGTTGATCAAGATGCTTGGCTTTTTGAGACATGCACATTGGCCCTCCAATTGGTCGTAGATCTTTTTGTTAACTTTTACAATTGTGTCAATCCACTTTTAAGAAAGGTGCTGATGCTCCTGGTTAACTTCATAAATCGCCCTCATCAAAGCCTCGCGGGCATTGGTATTGCTGCTTTTGTTCGTTTGATGAGTAATGCGGGGGAGCTATTTTCTGATGAAAAGTGGTTAGAAGTGGTTTTCTCATTAAAAGAAGCAGCAAATGCAACACTTCCTAACTTTTTGTTTCTGGATAGCGAGGATGAACATGCTTCAACTGCTGAAGATGATACAGATTTTGCTGATTCTGGCTTCCCAAATGATTTAGTAAACTTGAGGACTCATCGTCTTTATGCTCATTTAACTGATGCAAAATGCCGAGCTGCTGTTCAGCTTTTATTGATTCAGGTAATTTTACATTCTATTCCTCCAAAATATGTAAGAATGCATGCAGAATGAAATTTTGAGGGAGCTCAAGTTCCGTAGCTGTGATTATTCAGAAAGTCTGAGACTGCTGGATTATACACTAAATTCTTACTTTTTTATGCACCTGATGGGAGCATATATGTGTCCTTCCGATTCAGTACCTCATTCCAGAGTGTATTGTTGTATTGGTGTTCACTTTTATGTGTCTCAGTCAAAATAGATGCATGTAATGTTGAAAATGATGTTAACTCTCTTTTTGAAATTGGCAGGCGGTGACGGAGATCTATAACATGCATCGTTCTCACCTTTCAGCAAAAGCCATGCTAGTGCTGTATGATGCTTTGCACGATATTGCTTTACACGCACATCAGATTAACAACAATACCATATTACGTTCAAAACTTCAAGAGTTTGGTTCTATGAGCCAAATGCAAGACCCTCCACTCTTACGCCTTGAGAATGAATCGTACCAGATCTGCCTTACATTTTTACAAAACCTTGTCATTGACAAACCTCCTAGTTATGACGCCGATGAGGTTGAATCTCATCTCATTCGGCTTTGTCAGGAGGTTTTGGAGTTTTATATTGAAGTCGCGGGTTTTGGACAAAAATCTGAATCTTCTCATGGTCGGGAACCACATTGGTTTATTCCCTTGGGCTCTGGCAAGAGTAGGGAGTTGGCTGCTCGTTCACCTCTCATTGTGGCTACTCTGCACGCTATTTGTAGTTTGGAAGATACTTCCTTTGAGAAGAACCTGTCTCATTTCTTCCCTCTTATTTCTAGCTTGGTACGTTGTGAACATGGGTCCAAGGACGTCCAGGTTGCTCTCAGTGACATGCTTAATTTATCAGTTGGTCCTGTTTTGCTACAGTCATGTTGATCATATTGGTAAAGATTCACCCTGCATTTTGAGATGCAGGTTTTTCTTTTTATAAATCCTTTTGTTCATAATTTTCTCTGCTCTCCTTTGCCTTGAATTACTTGTCAATATTATAACTATAACAGTGTATGAAAAGTTGATAGTAGTGGTTTTCTCTTAGCCACACCCTTCCTAACTTTTGTATTTTAGAAGCTAGCTTTTCCTGTCAGATAATATACCATGAGACTCAATGTTGTATTTTTTATGTTTTATTCATTTTTTCTAAAAGAATTAGTTTTTAGACTATAAAGATTAGTTGTCAGGATGTACTTGTCATGTGGTGATAAATTTTATGGTTCTGATGTATTAGTCCTAGTTAGTAGTTATCTTTCATGTGAATTAGTTTTATTCAGAAAATAATTGATTTTGCTGAAGATGATCAAGATAGATCTCTTATAACTTTAGTTTGTATTATTTATGGATTATTTGGAAGCTTCTTAGGCTTTCAATATTTAGAAATGACCCCTATAACTTGTATACAGTGTTGTCAAAACCGGGTGTGAGAATCAACTGATTTTACTTGTGGTTAAGGTTCAACTAATTGTTGAATTGGATGTCATTATAAAAGTAGTTAATATAAAATAAAAACTCCATTAAACACAAATGATTACGGAATAAATTGTAGATATGATTTATTTTTTATATGAAATAATGAAAAATGATGTCTAATACTGTACAGTGATGTATGCACAAGAGTACCAGACATGCCATGGTTTTAATCTGCACCCCCAATAACTTTCTTGAAATTAAAAAAAAAAAAGATAATTCAGAAACTTTTCGGAAAGAATAATCCATTGTTCAGAATGTGCTTTCTGTCTAAGTTATGTCCTATTCCAGTTCTTGAAGCAGAAGCATAATGTCTTCAAAAACTACATTGACCAAGCTTTTAAATTTTTGGTGAAGAATACGAGATCTGTCAGACATAAGTATGTTTCTGGACTAAACATTCTGCGAGACATGAGTACTCTTTTAAGTCCATAGTAAACATATGAGACATTAAACTCTTCTATACTTGGAACATAGCACACGGACCCTACATTCCATCCATGCCTTTGACAACAGAAGTTTCTAAAAAAGAAATAGAATTACCCAATAAGCAAAATATTGAAAAGTAAAAGGTGTAAAAAGTTGGGGCAAACCTTCCTAGTCAAAACTGGGGAAAATTGAAGACAATAATACTAAAATAAAAACATGAAAAAAGTTATCTGGAAATCCACAGTGAGATTGGTCTCCTGAGAGTCATATATAGGTTTATTTAGAGTGAGCAAATAGGTAGGGCTCCTTGAGATTCTAAAACAAAATCCATAGACACTCTTCCAATACGCAACTCAAGTTCTTTCACTCCTCCACTCGTGCATCCATTTGAAAAGGCGCATAAAATTTATCCCCTGTAAACAATCCCATCACGGCAACAAACTTTGGAATATTAATACTATAAAAGCATGCCAACAAATTTAGCCAACTCAGACCTTGAAAAACAAAACTTTGTTCATATCCTATTTCAACACTAAGACGATATGTATCATCCACCATGTATTATCAACCTTTTCGAAAGTTTCCACATCAATTTTTCTAGAGTTTATGACCCACATTACTTAATTTAGAAGTAAATAAAATTTATATATTTATGAATTAATCAATTCAATTTTTTTTTCTCATCCACCAAATATATTTTCCTACAATATTTACATTTCTTTACCGTTGTAGATGTTTGAGAAGAGACATGCATGATGGTGAGTAGGAGGGAGCAATCTAGAGACTCTACTGGACAGAAACAAGTGTTTTCATATTTTCTGTAATATGGTTGTGAAGTAAAAGAGAAAGAAAAACAATATACAAAGAAATAAACTTTTAATGCATCATCATATAATTTTCAATTATTACTCGAATATAAATCAACAATTAAATTAATTTAAAATTAAAAAAAGTATGAATAAAATGATAATGTTCATACATGTTTAAAGATGGAAATAATAATATATAATTAAGATTTAATAATTCTTCTATCCTTGAAATTTGGAATAGTTTCGATTATGGTCTCGTAATTTTAAAAAACTTTTTGTTTAGCCTCGCAATAGATAGACTAAGATTATTTCTTTAAAATTAAGATTTATAATTTAGAAATTAAAGTTTAGGATTTGAGATGTTTTCATTCTCTCAAATTTATTGTTTATAAATTAAAATAATTTTTGTTCTCAGTGTTAAGAATAATTTTTAAAAAAGTTGGAGACCAAAACTAGGACTGTCCTATGTTTTGGGACGAAAACCATAATATATTTAGAAACTAATGTGAATAACACTTGTCACTTTAGAGAATAAAAAAAAACCCATTTATTAATCCTTACTGCAACACAAGTTCCTGAGAGAAGATGATTGTCTTAACGTAGGGAAAATCCAAAATACACAGTCACCAATGAGAATTGCTTTGTGAATTTCATGGACGAAGATAACAAAATAATTGATTGTAGGCCCGTGAAAGCGAATGTTGATAGCACATAGTATGGCGATGATATTTTATGACTTTTCTCCACCAGCCACCAATTAAGACCTTAATCATCATCACTCACTCTAAATCCATCCTTATCTAACTCTCTATCAGATTTCATCACCCAGAATGTCAAAACCAGCAGATACAATAATACTACGAAGACCCCATGTTTTGTCTTAGAAAAGGTTCAGCCTTTCGCATAGAGCCACCAGAATTAAGAAGACCTTGGAATAAAACTTGGAGAATTTTTACAATTTGCAAGGTGACAAAAGGGCATGTCCTAAATAAAGTTATGCACACACACATGATGCTGAACAATTTTCCTTTAGTCAACTCTAGTACCATCACAGTTATTATCCTCAATCTCTCCCTTAGTTAACTATGTTGTTGCAACCCTTCACTACTTGCTTCACCTTTCTTCGTAGGATGACCAAATCCTTCCTCAACAAACCACCAAGAATCGTAAAGGGCATGATGAGGGCATGCTATAAAGGAAAACGACCCAGGAGAAAATTCTCTTCAGGTTCTGGCTTGTCAACCTCTTCTTTCCTTCACATGGAGCTGTCCACTCAGTTTCATCAAGTTTTCAAGCTGATTGACTCTAATGGGGATGGGAAGATCTCAGCCAATGAGCTGAGTGAGGTGCTTGCATGCCTTGGATACAACAAGAGCAGTGCTGCTAAGGAAGCTGAAGGCATGGTGAGAGTGTTGGACTTCAATGGAGATGGGTTTGTGGACTTGGATGAGTTCATGGTTGTCATGGAAGAAGAAGATGAAGAGGAAGAAGAGAAGATTGGAAGTGGCACGAGGCATGATGATGGTTACCTGATGGATGCTTTTCTTGTCTTCGACACTGACAAAAATGGCCTCATTTCAGCCAAGGAACTGCAGAGAGTTCTCATCAATCTAGGGTGCGAAAACTGTAGCCTCAGAGAGTGCAAACGTATGATCAAAGGGGTTGATAAGAATGGAGATGGGGCTGTGGATTTTCAAGAATTTCGATCCATGATGCAAACTGGACTTGCAAATTAGACCTTCAAATGTGTTGTGTTTCTGTTTTTACTGTATTTGACTATTATCTCCTCTTTTCTCATAGTACACAAACATGTCTCAAGGAATGTAATTAACATGATATATGTTTTTTTTTTAATATTTTTCTAATTTCATATATGAAAAATAGAAAATATGTACATTAGATGCATAGTGTTATGGTATAGTGTATAAATTTTTTAAACTTAAGTGAGATTAGTATTATTTGTGTTTTGTTGTTTTCTTGGTCCATATATAGGAGTGTCATCAACAAGCAAGAAATGAGAGATTATTTACACCACACAAGCTTCTTTCTTATCCTTCTTATCAAGTTCTTTAAATAGTTTAAAAGATAATTAATTATTTTATTCATCCATTTCAAATTGATAGACCTTTTAATATTAAAAAATATATTTATTGCTCTATTTTTCAATGAAGTATATTAAAATTTTGTAGTCTAGTTTTGACTCCCCAAATATTTGTTATTGTTTATAAAATGGAGAAAAAAAATGTAAGGGTATTAATAAAATCATTGCTCTAATCAAATCATTTATTGTTTTTTAAATCCTTGAAAAAAAAAATCTAAATTTTCAATCGATATAGAGGAAAAGGGTTTATCTATTTAGGAGATGAGTTTTCAGACATTTTGTGATGAGATAGATTATAGAAATGTCTTCTGAGAAATGAAAATGATAGGGTGACATCAAGAACACAGAGGAATGTACACTTGTCACTAAGTTTAAACCATGTTTTCTTCTACACTCTTTTTCTTTTAGATATTTTGTGACCAAGTGGATACCATTTGATGATTCTTTTTACTATATTATTATCAGTGTGACAGTTTGATATATATAAAACCTCCTTAAAAAAAGTTTCTTACTTTTACAGAAATTTTCTGATCTCACAAATATTTTTCTTTCTATTTCCAAAATTTTACTTATAAACTCCATATTGCTTTTACATTTGATTTTGAATTGTTGGAGGAAATAAAATCTATAAGTTATTCGGTTATTTAATTTTTAATTTTATTAAACCAAATTGAATTTGTTCTCGATCATGTTGGTTTGACTTGAATTTTTTGATGATTTTTTTTATAAATTAATTAATAACGAATGGAATAATTTTTAATTTTTTTGGTCTCTATTCTCTACCTAAATATAACAAAACCAATCCATGAACAATCTTTATTTATCACACATATATTAATTAAAATTTTGATAATTAGTTTTTAAATCAATATATACAATTTCTTGTTATATTTTAGAAAAAAATCTCTTTAAAATAATGAAATTTATTTATAACTTCCTTTTATTTAAATAAAATAATTATAGGTTGAAAACCAAAAGATGAAATCAAGAGAAATTTTTTATCTTTTAATAATATGTTATTTTTTTAAAATTTAAAAAATAAAAAAAGTATTAATTTTTTATAGAGACTAAAATAGAATTTTGATGGACAAAAACTTATTTTATCATAATTTTATTTACATATGTATATTTTATTTCTAGTATATTGATTCGTTTTCGGGACTATTTGTTTTCCTGGGCTTACAACTTCTACTCTAATTTTATTGGGCCTACATCTTCCATTAACTGAGAAAAGTGAAACGGGCCATCGTAGCCCATTTGGAAAACGCTGTCAAAATCTAAGAGTTTGAATTAATAATTAAAACCTTTTCAATAAATTGTAGTTATTTTCTTCATAGTCCAAGAAAAATATACTAAAAATTTCAATTTAAAATCATTGTTAGATAATTACACCGTTCTTTTTCAATGAATATATATGCCAATTTAGTAGTTTTGACTTTTGGTTAATTTAGAAATTCTTTTGATTATAATTTCTCCCAAAAATTATGATAGTAATAAGTTATTATATAAGTTTTTCTGCATTTAAAGAAATCGCATCACTTAAGAATAAATAAATAATCTGTTCCAATATACTAAAAATGTGTAAACTTAACTTAATACTGTGCTTTTCTTTTTACAAGACCAAAAAAAAAAGTGATGGAACCACAAAATATTAAATTCAACAATATTACCTTAGAGAAGGACAAGAATAATATCTAAAAGTAATATATCTTTCTCGCAATCTATAAATTATTATTAATTAAATTAAAGAATAAAAAAAATAAACCAGATAAAACATACTCTGCTAACATGGATTTTATATCTCAAGTGGCTTAATCAACATGTTTATTTTTTTTTTTAAGTAATTACCAAAAGCAGATACGATATTATTATTATTATTGTGACACTTTCACTGCAATAATCTTACACATTAATCTATTCTACCAACAATCATTCCTCCCAAATACAAATTTTAATGGCCAAAACCATTTATTATTGAATAAAAATAAAACCACTTTTCATTGATAACTTAAACAAGATTAATAATGTCTTAAACAATAACCTAGTCATGTTTCTTAGTAATCATTCTTTCAAGTGTATATATATTTGTTTAAAGATCAATTCTTTTCTCATACATATCAAACACCAATGGTGGTAGCAACATTGTTTTATTATAATAGAGTTTATTATTACAAGTTCCCTAAGCTCCAACAAACCTCAATTTAATTACTACTAACCTTTTTAAATTTCTCACAGAAGTTTCCAAACTATAATTGCTTGCACTTCCAAATATGTGGGAACTATGTTCTTTAAGATTGCTACTACTTCTTTTTTTCTCCTAGGCGAATAACCCTATATTAATAATTTATTTTTATTTAAATAACAATACGATCCAAATATAAAATTCATCTCCAAAACAATAATATTTTTTTTATACCACTTCTTTTTATAAACTACGATACATCAAACATAGTACGGATTTTCTTTTTTTCGTTATGTCCAATGAATTTTGGTTTCGCAATAGGATAATATATTGGTAAATTTTCTGCAAACCCTTCACCATAAAACATTCACCTAGAAGATTTATTACCAATAATAGTTTAAATATTTTTTGTTATCCATACATAATTTACTTCTCATACATACACGTGAGAATGGTTAAAATACAGAAATTTGATTTCTATCATCATTAACTCCTTGCATATTCTTTTTTCTTTTATATATTTTTAAGAATTCATGATACGTATAGACACTAAATTATATGTTTAACCATAATTTTTTGTAATATTATAATTTTTGTAGTTATACATTATTAACTTTTGTCAAGCATATTTAAAAATTCATTCAGAATCTAATGAGTACAAAAGATAAAATATTTACATTAACAGAGCAAAAGTAAACTATTAATTATTCATCTTGCATAATTTTAATTAAATCTGAACATATATTTCTACATGATGAGACACTAGTAGCAGACATAACATTAAAGTTGACCTTAAATTTATTCAAGAACCACCTTATTACAAAGATTGTTTATCCCGACAAATCTAAAAGTTTGGGTGTATAGTTATTATTTTTTTGGACACACAAAAACATCAAAATCTTTAAATTTTCAAGAATACCATAGAATTTCTTTAAACACAAAACTTGGATACAGTTTAAGTTGTTTGTTATAATATTTTCCATAAGATTTAGAGTCTTAATTACGCAATTTACATAACACTTAATACAGATTTTATTATGAAATTAGACATCCTAAAATCACTTGTTTAAGAGCATTCCCAACACATAAAAAATTAAGTATAAGATTGAAAGAACAAACCTAAAAGCATTACTTGAGTTTTCTGTGTTCTAATTTAAATCTGGAAAGAGAGGATAAGGTTTTAAACCAGAAGGGTCATTAATAATGGTGACCCGACAACAAATGTGGCCTTAGTCCAGAAAAATTAAATGCATCGAAATTCAAAGCAGTGGATAGTTAATGAGCCAAGAGAAAAATAATAATTGAAAGTACATAGAGTGGCACTAAGGAGCATGCAGGCACCAATGAAAGAGAAGGAAAATCGTTGACATTAGGCCACCAATGGTTTGCAAAACTTGATTTGGAAAGAAAAGAGGTTAATTAAAGTAGGAATTAAGCAGGTGCATGATGACAAGAAAGGTTCCAAATCTATCATAATCCATCACATGAAGGGTTCAGTTTGGTCGGTTGTTTAGCCCTTAAAATAATGGGGTTTGAATTAATAAACATAAGTTTGAAAGCTTTGGATTGGCTTTCCATGGAAGACAAGAGATGTGTGTGCAACAATCTCAACCCACTTTGAGTGAAAAGCGCTTGTAAAAGAGTGAGAACATGCACCATCGTGCTTCCTTCGATGCAATAGGTGCTCCTCACATGGAATTCAAACTTCATTTTTTGGAAGTGGTCCACACTCTATGGATTAACTTTACCATCATTTCTTTAATCAAGATCAACACTAGTGCCTTCCATTTGTTTAGTTTGGTTTAGTTTAAAAGACCTGATTAAGATAACTAACCATAGTTTATATGTAGCTGTTGTTGCAGTAGTAGTACCATGATGTTTCAACAGATTTTTTTTCAAAATCAACACACTCCTTCCAAATGGGTGATTTTGTCCTTCTCGAGGACTAATTAAATTTCTCATTCACAAAATTCAAAACACACATGTCAACACACCAACACATGGTTTTTTGTATTCTAGCTACACGCGTGAACCAAACGCTGGTTTTGTTTTTGTTCTGTTCTGTGATAGAGTTTGTGAACCCTTGACTCTTGACATTTTGATCCAGCTTTAGCTTAGGGTCACTAACTGAACCCTTATAAAGTAACATTGGTGAAATACTAAAAAAAAAAACAAAACATGAAGCTTAAACCAGAAGAAAGAAACATACGCATGGTTCAAGAATTAACAGAGAAAATAAAAGAAAGTTGAGTTCAGTTATATCAGCTTTTTGAACACTCATATATGAGTCTTTTTCATTGATCTTCTTTGCATATAGCAGAGGTTTTAATATTCTGCAGAAAATTTACGTATCTCTATCTTTAGGCAACTTCATTGGTGAAGAAGCCTAAGAAAAGGTGGGGAATGCTTCAACAACTGGTTTATATATAGTGGAAGTCTTACTAAACAGAAGA